TGGGACGATTTTTGTGTGATGAATACACAATCATCAGTTTCTTGTTGATGAAAAGAAGTAAAAGCGGATATAATTCATGCTTGATAATAAAAATTTATTACCGTGTCACTAAACACTACTACACAAATATTAGAGTTCAATATAATCTGTGATTTTTTTCTCTTTCTAAGATCTGTATTGAATCGAATTTCTCTTTTATTGTTTTATGATATTTCAAAACTTTCATAAATTACGTATTTTCTGTATTATTATATTCATTTGATTTCATTACAGCACCTTCAATAATACTTTTCAATGTTTCGAAAGCATTGTGAAACTGTAAAACAGATTGAAGCATATCCCATAATCGATTAATCATGGATGCTGCTTCAATTGGTGTAGCAACTATTTTAGCATATTTCGAACTAGATTTTTTCAAACCACTAACAAGTACTTGATAACTATTTTGTAAACAAGAAATAACTTGTCCTCGGATATTATCAAATTGTTGCAGTAATATAAGATTTTTTCCTAATGCTCCATTGAGATTACGTTTCATTTCATTAAAGTCTTTTTCAAATTCTTCATCATTTGCACTATTCACATAAAGAATTTTTATTGTATTATCGATTGAATCAATGACTCTTTTTAAGAAATTTACTTCTATGCTATGAACAACCTTTTCTATAACATCTTCTTGAATCTGTTCCATAATTTTATCTGTTATAATATTGGTTAAATAGGTAGTTGCAAACTAAGCAGCGACTTTCCAACTATTTTCGTCATCATTGCTGCTCTAGATACTGATCCTAATTTAGTTGCTGTATTTCTTACAGAAGCTAATCGTCCGATTCCAGCAGTCATTATAGAAAGACTCATGCTAACCGATTTCTGTATTGTCCATTCCTTCCAACTAAAACTACCTGATATACCTGCCATAGTTGTATAAACCATATCAGAAATACCTTCACTAATTAAAGCTCCGCCTATGTTAATAAAGCCAAATGATATTAAAACTGCTCCTCCAATGGCTTGAGCAAGTCCAATCATTGCAACTGCAGAATCATTCCAGTCCCACCAAGATTTATCTTCTTCAACAATTAAAAATTAATCTAAACCAATTCCTTCAAAAAATTTTAGTTCACTGGGAACTATCTCTTGATCTTGAAGATCGAGAAAAATCTTTTAAATTTCCTTTTAAATCATCTTTGTACGATCGAATATCTCCTTGTAAACGTAATATGTTTGATTGAACTAATTCTATGTCATTTTCGAATTCACTATTTTTTTACAATCGTATCTAAGACTGTCTTCATTTTTTCATGAATATCTCCATTTTTATGTGCAGCAAGTCCATCAGATTTTAAAATATCTTGTTCTTTTAAAAAAAATACGAATTTTATTTTCTTCTTCTTCTTTTATAGAAAATGATAAATCTGATTGATAAAGATATTGACTACCTTGACCAATATTTTCTATTAATTCTTTTAAAAATGCTTTAAGATCTTTCAATTTTAACTCGTCTAGTCTGAATTAAAATTTGTTTTTCTTTTAAATAGATTTTAAATTTCTTCTTTTCTAAAGTATTTTCAAATAGAGATTCTTTAACATCTTGTATATCTATTTGATTTTCTAAGTCTTTCCAAATATTTTCATACTCCTGTGGTAATTCTTTTTCTACTCTAGTTTTATCTAATATAAAAATATTTTCAAAATCTTCCTTTTCAAATAGAGCTTTGTTATTTAATAAATTAATTAATTCATCTGCGATTGAAGGATCCAGATGATGTCGAATATTCTCTTCCATTTTAATTCGTTCATTGGAATCTTTTCGAAATACTTTTCTTATTCGATCTCCTCGAATAAGTTTATGCTGAACTAAAAAGTTATATAATTTTTCTCCTTGTTCATGATCTGTTTTTGTTAGTTTTTGATCATCTTTTGGATGTAAAATCAAATCAAAAGGTTCTATAGTTTCTCCTACGGCTTGATATAAATAATGCAACTGTAATTCAATAACTTCTAATTTTCCTCTAATCTGATCTTGATAAAGATTTTCTTTTGAAGATACTTTTTTTTTAAATATTAGCAGTAGCTGATTGAGGAAGAAGTTCAGTAATTTTAAGATTTGACATTAAATTTCGTTTAGATGATTCTAACAAGTATATAGCTCTTTTTAAATGTCTTCTTGATTCTTTTTTTACATCTTCAGTACCTAAATTAATTATACAATATGCAAGCGCTATATGTGAAAAATCTGAAATATCTCCAATTAAAATTCCTTTTTCAAAACATTGCTTAGCCATAGGAATTTCATTTTCTGATAAACAAACTTTTCCAATGCTAATAGCTTCTTCGGGTTGATCAATAAATATACTTAATAAATCATCAAAAGATGCGTTTTTTAAACAATTTTTTAATTTAATGATAAATAAAGTATCCTATTCTTTTAAAAGATTAAACTTTTGATAATAAGTTGTAATATTATCAATTTCTTGTTTAGCTTTATCTAACAAAAATGCCCAACGATTTTTTAAAATATTTTCAAAATCTTCAACGAATTTCTCACAAAATTTTTCTAATCTATTACTAAATAATGATTTGAAAATTTCTTCAGCAATTTTTTTCTTAAATTCATTAAATTTTTCAAAAAGCTCTTCTTCAATTTCAAGATGAAGAATATTCTTTTGTTTCAATTTTGATAGTCTAGCTGCTTCTTTATTGTCTCGACGAATTTTTTCTTCTTCAATAATAATCTCTGCTAAATTTTCTAATTTAATCCATTTTTGTTCATTTGTATAGTGATTTAAATCATACATTTCTTCATATATAGATTTATCTACTAATAAAATAAAGCGTCCAGTACCTTGTGCTCCATTTCTAGCTGCTTTACCAAAAGCTTGTTCTTCTACTCGAATATTTTCTGGTAAATAACTTAAAATAAAATATGCATTCCTTCATCTTTATTAACTTGTGGATCTACATGAATATCAATACCTCTTCCACATTATCATCATCTCTTCTATATTTTATTATGGTATGATGAAGTACACTATGTCAAATAATAAGTTCATTCC